ATTTCTGTTCCTTCCTCTCAACTTTTCTGTGAACCTAAAACTCTCTTTAAAAAAAAAAAGGTCTTTTTTTTTTTAAAGGCAGTATTCAATTACTTCTCACAATACTTAATTTTTTTCAATAAAATAACACAATATATTCTGAGAAATCTGGTAACTTGATTTTATTTTCATTACAATCAATATCATTGGGTTTCTTTATTTTAAAATGATCTATGGTGGGGAGCCTGGGTGGCTCAGTCACTTGAGTGTCTGACTTTTGGTTTGGGCTCAGGTCATGATCTCACGGTTTGTGAGATTGAGCCCCACATCCAGCTCTGCACTGATGGTGTGGAGCCTGCTTGGGATTCTCTCTCTCCCTCTCTCTCTGCCCCTACCCTGCTCACTGGCATGAGCGTGCTCTCTCTCTCTCTCAAAATAAATTTAAAAAAATTATCTGTGGTAACACTTTTTTGGTGAAAACTTCTATGAATTTTAACACATATATGGATTCATGAAAACCCCACCAACATTGGGATACAGAACGGTTCCCCCATCCCAAAAAGTTCCCTCAGCCGTCTGCTTGTTGTCACATCCTCGCCTCACCCCAAACACCCTGCCAACCACTGATCTGTTCTCCACCATTATAGCTTGATCTTTCTTTGAGGATTTTTGAGAATGGCAAAAAAATAGGATCATATGGTATGTCACCTTTTGGTATTGGGTTCTCTCACTCAGCATTGTGTTTTTAAGATTCATCTGTGTTATGTGTATCAGTAGTTTGTTGCTTTTTATTGTTGCATAGTTGCCTATGGTGTGGAGGTCACATAGTTTATTTAGCCATTCACCTGTTGAAGAGCTTTGACTCCAACAGCTTTTGACTATCAAATATAATTGCTGTAAATGTTCACATACAGGTTTTTATATAAACCAAGTTTTCATTTCCCTGGGCTATAAACCTAGCAGTGGGATTGTTGGGCGTGAAATTGATATTTAACCGTGTGAGAAATTACCAGATCATTTTCCAGGGTGGCTGTACCATTTCACATTCCCATCTGAAACGTATGGTGTTGCAGTTGCCTGTGTACTTGTCAGCACTTGGAATTGTATTCTTTTTAGCCATTCAAATAGGTATGTAAGTAATGGTATCTTATGTATTTTTAATTTGCATGCTTCTAATAGTTGATGATGTCGACTAGCTTTTCATGCGCTTGTCATCCTTATATGCTCCTTGGTGAAGTGTCTCTTTTAGTCCCTTACCCATTTTTTTAATTGTGTTATTTGCTTTTTTACTGTTGAGTTTGAGAACTCTTTGTATATTCTGGATGTAAGTCCACTGTGGGATAGGTAGTCTTCAGATATATTCTCCTTGTCCACAGCTTGTCTCTTCATTCTCTTTGGAAGAACAAAAGTTTTTAAATTTGATGAAGTCTAGTTTATCCTTTTTTTTTTTTTTTTTTTTTATGGATCATCTATTTGGTGTCATTTCTAAGATCTCTTTGCCTAACTCCATGTCGCAAGAATTTATCATATGTTTCTTCTAAAACCTTTATTGTTTTGTTTATCATTTAGACGTATGATCCATTTTGAGTTAATCTTTCTTTTTGCAAGGTGTGAACTTTTTATTAAGGTTTCTTTCCTCCCTTATGGATGACTTATTGTTCCAATACCCATTAGTTGAAAAGAATTATCTTTCCTCGACTGAATGGTGTTTATGTTTTGTCAAGGGTCAAATGGCTGGCTGTATTTACATAAATCTATTTCTGGAGTTTCTGTTTTGTTCCATTGATCTCTGTGTCTATATATCTTCTCTCTGGGTCTCTTTTAACTGAAAAACCAACCAACAAACAAAAAATAGAAATAATTGTCCTGTGTCATGAACAATAAAGGGTGGATGGGGGAAAGCAGTTCACTGTGTGCCCAAGAACTAGCAGTGATCCCGTTCCTTCTATTACCTATTTCCTGCCACCTCCTAGGTCACACATCACAGAAACTGAGCTGAACAGATCGATAAACTTACCAATTAATTTCATGGGGTAACCACTTAGTAAAACCAAATGTCTTCTTTCTTAAATACTTCCCTCACTCTCTGCATGTTCCTCAGTGTGGCAACTGAAAAGCATGCCAGCCTCACATGACCCAGAGCAGAGGGAAGGGGGTTGTACCCTGACTTAAGGAAAAGTTTTAAATGAAAATACAACTCCGCTTACCAGGTAGGGAGATAGGAAAATGGAAACATTTTTTACTATTTAATTTGAAAATAAATTGTCATCTAACCCACAGCGGGAGTTTTATTACATCAACAACTGGTCTCTGTTAAAAATAAGTTTCTGGGTTACCTTTCAGCATGGGTGCTTTGAATGAGGAAAATCCAGAATGACATTCCAGTGCACGGATATATAGATGCATGGACACAGACATATAGTAACAGCTCGAGATAGTCTCCTTTCCTTTCCCCTAGCCCAAACTGGGATCATTTAATACAAACTATTGTGTAACTAAAATAGGTTATCTTTGCTGCATGGAAAGCTGGTGTTGACAACACTAATTATTTCTCATTGTTTCCTTTTTTTTTTTTTTTTCAAAGATTACTTAGTTGTTTTGGGTGACAGAGAGAAAGAGAAAGAACGAGTGGGGGAGGGGCAGAGAGAGAGGGAGGGAGAGACAGAATCCTAAGCAGGCTCCGCACTGTCAGCACAGAGCCCAATGTGGGGTTCAGACCCACTAACCTGCGAGATCATGACCTGAGCTGAGATCAAGAGTCGGATGCTTAACCGACTGAGCCACCCAGGCGCCCCTCATTATTTCTTTTGATCCCAGGTGATACAAGTGGTAGAGTCATTGGTGTAAAGCAAACATATGTTTTCTCCCTTCAGGCTGATGTTGGAAGACTTTTCCTTTTTCTGGATGTATTAGGATAATAATTGCAGCTAAGAAATAATGTACTCTTTTTTTTTTTTAAACGTTTATTTATTTTTGAGACAGAGAGAGACACAGCATGAATGGGGGAGGGGCAGAGAGAGAGGGAGACACAGAATCCAAAGCAGGCTCCAGGCTCTGAGCTGTCAGCACAGACCTCCATGCGGGGCTTGAACTCACAGACCCTGAGATCATGACCTGAGCTGAAGTTGAATGCTTAACCGACTGAGCCACCCAGGCGCCCCTGAAGTCAGCTTTTTAAAAGGTCATTATCTGGGGCACCTGGGTGGCTCAGTTGGTTAAATGGCTGACTCTTGGTTTCGGCTCAGGCCATGATCTCACAGTTTATGGGTTTGAGCCCCATGTTGGGCTCTGTGCTGATGGTGTGGAACCTGCTTGAGATTCTCTCTCTCCCTCTCTCTCTGCCCCTTCCCTGCTCTCTCTCTCTCTCTCTCTCTCTCTCTTTCTCTCTCTCAAAATAAATAAACTAAATAAATGGGTCATTATCTGACTCCCTTTCTACTTTTGTTAATTGTGTTCCCAAGTGAACCAATGAACCTTTATTACTAACCTTTTATTTTCACACTTTATCTTGTGCCTATAGATAGGATGGGATTAGACCGAAGAATGAGAAAAGGGGCCACCTTCATGTATTTGTTTATTTACTCATGCATGCATTCATTCATCCTGCAGATATTTTTTGAGTACCTACTCTATGCCAAGTACTTTGCCTTCAAGGAGGATACAGTGCAACAAGTGATAAAGTAAACCAGCAATTGGTCTAGGAGCCCTGCATGGAGTCCCCTATTCAGCCTTGAGAATTAGAGAAGGTCTGCATATGAGTTGGTCTAGTGAAGGGGGAAGGAGGTAGGGAAGAGTACCCAAGCAGAGAGCATTGCCTACATAAGGGCCAGAGAAGATGTCAAGGATTTCTTAGGGGACTGCAATGATTTTAGTATTGCAGGAGTATAGTGTGCAGGGGTGGGTTTTATATTGTCCAGAATTTGATAGTACAGTGTTGTTTAAACACACACACACACACACACACACACACACACACACACGAATATCCTCCCTAGATAGGGAATATAGTCTTGAGTCCATCATAGGCCCCACCCCTTTCCATTGTTCTACTCTATCCTGATTTATTTTATTACCTGCCCGATCCATGTAGGCATTTCACTTTGGGATCTTCTACCTCTGGAACTAGACAAAGATCAAGTTCAGACTATCTCAGTTGCCATTTCTGATATGACAGAAAAGGAGACTAGCATTTTGATGGAACTTTGAAGACCAGCCCAATGAAAGATCTTACCATAAGATAGGACCAGGACAGTGACTCGCATCCATTAAAAGAAAGGGTCCCCTCCCCAGCAAAGAAAATGGAGTATGAAAACAAATGTTTATTGAGATCCTACCATGTGCCACGTACTATGCTAAATTCTTTTATATCAGGCCTTTCTATGATATATGATAGTAACTTAAAGGATCACAGGTGCATGTATGAAATTAACCTTATAACTTACAAAGTGATCTTACACATCACCAAATATATATGAGACTGTCACTTTCATGTTTAATGCAATCAAATATTCAACACTATTGAGGGACAGTTAATGTGTTAGGTACTAGACCGCTATAGGGATACAGTGCAGACAGGGTTTATGTGTTACGTACTGGACCACAGCGGGGATACAAAACAGACAGGGTCACTCACTGTCTTCTTCACTGCTGAGGGCATCCTCACAGCATGGACAATTGTCTCCGTGTGGTCCTTTGAACAGATTTGAGTCACCCTGGAATTAATGGAATTTTTGAAAGAATAAGTCAGAGTTTGTGACCTTGATGAACTTTAACAAATTTATATATATAAGATTGATTTGGATCAAGCCAGCTCTCCTCCTTGGAATGAAAACCCCAGCCATTAGGTAAGTAAATCAATAGCAAACGCCTCTGCTGGTGAATCAAGGATGACGTTATCTTCCTAGGGCTTTCATATGGATGGTTTAGGGTTTTGAATACCTTGTGAAACTGACTTGAAAAATAATTTCTTGGTCCTCACAATAGAAATTGGGCCAAAGCTGGTTTACATGTTCATGCTTGCATTTGGTATGAGTCATGAGAAATGAGGATATTTATTTCCCGAAAAAGGAGGAGAATCTGAGTTAACTTTGAATCCGTTTCTGTGGCCCAACAAAGTGCCTTAGGCATACTGTTGCTCAATAAATATTTGCTAATCCAAAAGTCACGTAGCCAGAGATTTATATCTACAAAGAAAGGTCCTCTTTGCCAACCTGTCCGAGATCCTGCACTGTGGGACTGCCCTATATATTGGAGCCTTTGCCCACGAGGAAGTATCTTAGGGAGTCAGGCACTGATTGTGTTTCCAGAACCCCTATTTGCCAGGAACGGCACCCAGGTAAAACTAGAATGTAGTAATCCACCCTGAGCACAGACTGCTTCCTTCTCCCTGGCCCCAGTGATGCATCTGGGAGGCATCACTGAGCCCTAGTGAGAGAAGAATTACAGTTTCAACATTTTGAACAGTGGCAGTGCTGGAGCCACAGGGGGAGGGCAGCCACAGCCAAAGACAGAGGGAGGCAAAGCAAGTTTGTGCATCTGATGACATACCTCTGGGGGAAACTTAGAACTGTAGGAGAGGCCCCACCAGAGCAATTGGAATCCTGAGTTAATGATTACAGTGAAGCAGAGTAAGGCCAAAAACAAGAGGACTCTGGTGAAACCGAAAATGAGGTGGAGAGAGAATTCCGCACCATAGGAAATTCAGTGAGAGAGAGGCTCAGGTTCTGTTGGTGAAACACTGAGTTTGGACTGACCGGCCAGTGGTAAGCCAAGAGAAGAAGGTTCTGAAATATTCTGGAGCGCTTGATACCATGCGAAGGGAATTTTGAATTACAAATAGAAGAAAATGGGAGAGCATGGCAGTTTTGAGGAGGGGCAGGTTTACGATATTTACATGGACTATTTCGATTTGCTACAGTGTTTCACAGAAGGGATCTATAGAAGCTGGCACGACCGCTGGGATTTATGAGGTGGGTGGAGCAGGGAGCTTGGCGAGGCCCAGATGTGGCTTCCAGACCTGGCAGAGAGCGGAGGTATGCAAATGTGGTGGTTGCGGACATCGGGCAGCGGAGTAGCCCAGGTGCCCAACAGTTGCTCAGCGCTCCCAGGTGGGTCTGGAAAGACATTTGCTCAGAAGTGAGCTGGGCTCCCAGAAGTGCTCTAATTTCTTCAGATCATCTGATAGCAGTCTCTGATGTTTACCAGCTTCAGGGAGATCGGGCCATTGTGATTTTTTTTTTTTTTTTTTTCTGTAATAAAACTAGCCCCAGCCAGCCAGACTGGGAACTTACTGCCTGAGCTGTTTTCCAACATGGTTTTGCTGGCAAAACTAGACAAGAGTGTTTCCTCGACTCTCAAGGGGCCTGTTTACACTGACTTTATTTTTTACTGCCAGTTTTCAAGTGGGAAGAGGGAGATTATATTTAAAGGTCAGCAGGTAGGCAAAAAGATCCCTGTCCTGCCATTCCTGGGTGTGTGCCTGTGTGTGCCTGTGTGTGTGTGTGTGTGTGTGTGCGTGCCTCTATGTTTTGTGTGCGAGCACGCGTGTGCGTGTGTGCTTTTCCACATGCACATTATTGTGCCCTGATCTTGTTGATGAGACCTGATCACTTGTCTGTAAGCATAATGATGGTGCCCGGCCGCTTGTTTGTCAGTTCCTTATTTGTTTATTGTAAAGAAGGTAAATCAATCTGCGGGATTTCTGGATTGAAGGGCAAGGAATATTTACTGTCAACAGGATAAGAACAAGGAGATAAAAGATACTGGGCTCCGGGGTGCATCTGGTGTCAGGACAAGAGCATAAAAAGGCAGGGAAGAAGCCAACTCCCGAGCATTTCTATCTTAAATGGAAACTTTTTAAGTATTTGAGTGGGAAATACAACTTGGAAACTTGCCCTTCGGTCAAAGCACCAGTCCATAGGTCTAGGTCGAGTCAAATTAGGTTGGACTCCAGTTCAATTTCAATTTCATCAGCTCTCCTTTCTAAATTCCTTTCTAAAAAAAAACTTTCCCGAAAGATGACAAGCGAATGCTCCCAGTTTGGATATGAGAGCTGAAGGGAAGAATTGGGAAGGGAAGTCTCTGGTCCATGTACACATTCCCAAGGAAATTTAGCACTGAGACTGACATTCCTGGGAAACCAATTTGCAACTGTTGTCCTCCACTGAGGGACAAACCACAACATTGCTGCTCTACTAAGGATTGACCGAGAAACCATGAAATCCCCGTCTGCAGGAGACTTGGAAGACTACCTACTGAATAAGGTAAGGGCAGGTACTGGTCTCTCCCAAACACCCCTCCTCACCCCTGCCACCCCATCAACCTGGATTCAGAGGGATTTCAGGCTGCTTCCAAAGATACATAAAATGCTCCTCAGGAACCCAAGACTATCATCCATAAGAGTGTTTACAAGACTTGTTTACTGCCAGAGGCCCATTGGGTGCAGAATGTGGAACAGAAGAAACGTGGGTTAGAACTCCAGCTCTGTCACTGATGTTTGGTATAGTCATGAGCAAGGCACTTAACCTGCCTGAGCCTCAGCTTTCTTCTCTGTATAATGGGGGTGATAATAGGGGCTTAGTGGGGTCATTGAAAAAGAGTAAATGAAATTAAGAATGCCTTTTGGAAACTGTAATCATGCTAGATTTAAAAATATATATCCTATTTTTAGTACACATCAATTAAGAGTTAATTGAATTTCTTCTGTAGAGAGTCAGAGACTCTTAGAATATTAGAACTTGAAGGGACCTTAAGTATTATCTAACTTAACCCTTTCCATTTACAGACAAAACTATTAAGGCACACAGACAGCCACCCGTAAAACTAAAACATGTAAAATAAGGGTAGGGACTTGTCTAAGATTAGGGACATGCCTTCACAAGTAAACACAGCAGAGTTCATGATCACAGTGATAAGGAAAGTTGATTTCTTAGGCAAAACCATTTAAAGAGATAAATAGGGGAAACTTACATTGATAAAAATTATAGCCAACAAAATGATTTCCCACTATTTCTCCTTTTGGGGGCTATTATAAACAGAAGGGGTTTGGGCTGACATTTTCCCATGGTCCTGTGTTTTCTGAAGCAAAAAGCTCCAAATGTTTTAGCCTGGCATCCAAGTAATACTTTATCTTTCCACTTTCTGCTTCCCTGTGTCTCCAATAGCAGAAATTCTAAACAGTGCTCTACGCTTTGAATCTAGCCGTGCACGTGTTTTCTTTGGCCTACGGAGTAGTTTTAAATGTCTTCAAATGTGTTACAAACATTTCATAATAGCGGGATTTTGCATAGAAATCCAGATTTCCATCTTCTTCAGGAAAAGGAAAACATCAGGGTATCTGGCAATCCCAGGTCCCATGGGCTGGGGCCGAGTATCTGTTCAACAGGGCATTTGCTCGCAGCTTCTCCTGGGTCCGACACCCGCCCCCCCCCTCAGCCCTCCCGCACATGTGCATCCCCCTCTGTCCCTGTGGGTGTTTGAATCCGCCACACCTGCTCCACAAGTACTGTGTCCTGAGAATATCTAAGGCCCCAGCTTCCCCACTTTCCTCTACCAAGGGAGATATCCTCTCTCCTTTCCATTTCTCTGGCTCATATTCATCATATTCAGACTCAGCTCAGGGCCCACTTTATCAAGGAAGATTTCCCTGACACCCCAGCACAGAACGTTTTTGCTTTCCTATGAACTCCCATCATAATTATTACTGACAATATTTATTGGGCACTCAGGTGTACATGTTGACACCTTTCCTATTATTATCTTGGGTGGCAACATAAATATTACCTCATTTTATTCTTTAGAAGTTTCTGGAGGGGAGAATAGTGTCCTGGATATTTTCATTCCCCTTGACATTCACACAGTATCTTTGCACATAATGTGGTCAGAGTATTTTTAGGACTCGTTGAGGATAATACTAGAATAGTGTAAAAGGTGCTGGCAGGTTGGGGCCCATGCAGTATCTCATTTAATCTGTCAAGAAGCATGTGGCACGTGCCTACTACTTGCATTTTTTACAGAGGAGGAAATAGGCTCGTGTGGATTAAAATACTTGCCCAAAGTCACACAGCTGGATAGTGAAAAGTTCTGAGGTGTCAGTAAGAACATTCTTTTTTTTTTTTTTTTTTTACTCCAAAGCCATATTTACTCCGCTAAACCCCTCTATATCTCCATAAACACACACTAAGCACCTGCTTTGTGCAAAACATGGTGCCCCAAACACAGGCCCAGGATGTGGCCTGCTCAATGAGAGGGACATTGTGTTTTGGGTATCTTTTTTGTTTTAATTTTTTTTTAATGTTTATTCAGTTTTGAGAGACAGAGAAAGAGCGTGAGCGGGGGGGAGGGACACAGACAGACGGAGACACAGAATCCGAAGCAGGCTTCAGGCTACAGAGCTCGACGTAGGGCTCAAACCCATGAAGCATGAAATCATGACCTGAGCCGAAGCCAGATGCTCAACCAACTGAGCCACCCAGGCACCCCACTGGTTATCTTTAAGGGTGGCCCTAGCCCGCCTGCAGATTTTGCACATAGCTCTAAGGGTAAAAGGAGGATGTCCCATGTGTGGACAGGGAAATGCTTAATATAATATATGGCCGAGCAGAGGGGTTGCAGCAGAGATTTCCACAGGGCACTGGAGGAGAACAGAGGAGTGTTAGCTCTCGTGGGGGAGGTGGTCCACAGCAAGAGGGGTGGAGACTAAGCCTGGGGGGAGCGCACGTAGGGTTTTCACAGATGGAGGAGGATACGAGAGGCCTTCCGAGCTGAGGGAAACTCATTCAGGCAGGCAGCATGGGTTTCATTCTCTGCAGCCTTGTCCCTGGGGGAGGCAGAGCCCTGGTTATGAATGTGGGCTGCCAGGTGTGACAGTTTCTGGCATGGATCCCCGTTCTGGGGCTTCCTGACTCTGGCAGGACCCTGGGCAAGATTACTTGGCCGTTCTGAGCCTGTGTTTCCTCTGTAAAATGGGGATGATCATGGCGCCCACCTTCAAGGAGTGTTGGGCAGTGCGGAGGAGCTAGCTCTCATAAAGTGTCCTGCACACGGGAGGGACTCCGGTCTCAGCACTGTGGCACTGCTGTTGCTGTGGGTTCTGCCCAGCTGTACATATTCTGTGGGGCCCCAGCAGATGGCTCAGGGAAGAGTGGATCTGAAGAGGTGGGGATATCATGGTGGAAGCCTCCTGTCTTGTCCGTAGGCAGCATCTCTTCACCTGCATCCTTTTATTTATTTAAAAAAATTTTTTAACATTTATTCATTTTTGAGAGACAGGAAGAGACAGAGCGCAAGCAGGGGAGGGGCAGAGAGAGAGGGAGACACAGAATCCGAAGCAGGCTCCAGGCTCTGAGCCGTCAGCACAGGGCCCGACGCGGGGCTCGAACCCACAAACTGCAAGATCATGACCTGAGCCGAAGTCAGACGCTTAACTGACTGACACACTCGGGCGCTCCCATCCCCATCCTTTTAGATTATTAACCCCTGGAAGTCAGAGATGGTACCCATCCTGTTTTATTTAAAAACCCGATTATCGGATTAAATGTGATTCTAGAATTAAGTCTGACTTCCTGATGTCTGGAAGGAAGTTCTCGGCCTTTTATCCCCAGGCGCCCTTATCGTAAGGGACAGTCACACAGGCCATATGCTCAGGGTTGTGGCCAGGTCTGTGTGACATTCCTGGCACGCTACTTGGCTCCACCCCTCTATCTCTCTCAAGAAAGCATGTCGGAATGCAAGCGAGTCAGAATGGTGTTATTATAGGGAATAACCTTGCATTCTCACTAATTTATATTTGAAACAGTAAATTGTTCGTGACCTGGAGCTATTCACAGAAGCAAATGATGTGTGGGACAACAGTGGGCCAGACACTGTGGCTGGGGAGGAGGAACGTGGCCCGGATGGGGATGTGTACATGTGTGTGGACACGTACCTATGCCCTGGAGACAGGGAAGCCCACAAAAAAATGCCTGGGCCCTTAAAGGGTGCTCCGATGACTCATTTTGCATAAACTCTGCTTAATTAGAGTACCTGAATCTGCAAGCCAACAAGCGTGGCGAATTTTCTGGGGTCGGTGTGACCGAAGGGAGGATTCGATGACCTAACCACATCTAGCACCACATGTCTGACTAATTTCACCCAGTTCATTTCTGCTTGCGCTTTGTCCCATCCGCAAATGCCATCTTTTCAAAGGAAAAGCATACCTTTGTTCATTGACCTAATCAGCAGAGGAAGTGAGTGAAACTCAAACAGGCACCGAGGTCAAGTTTCAACTGAACGGGCCTTGAATCCTTCTTAAATTACCATATTCCACCCCCCACCCCCCACTTTAGGTTTGTTTCAAAGCGGTGCCATGAAATGGATCTGATGCCAAGGCTATTGTAAGGCCACAGCTGGTATCTTCCTGATGTCGGGCAGGCACTAAAGGGCTTCTGGGGTTGGGCTGGCTACCGTCTCTGCTTGTGGTGAAGCCGCCTTCTTTCCCTGAAATCACTCCCTATAAAGCCGCCTGGGGCCCCATTCCCTGCTTTTCCACACCCTGAAATGGAATCTTTACGCTCTACCTTACTAGGTTGTGGTCAGGACAGCTGGAGGGAAGCTGCCTGGGGTTTCTGGGTTGTGAGTGACACAAGGACAGTGACAAGTGGGGTGTGGGACGGAGCCTGGGAGACCTTTCGCACAAATCCCTGCTGGGGCTGCTGGAGACAGCATGTGGTCCGTATAAGAGTATGGATCAGAACCAATTGCAGCCAGAGACGTGGAGGGGAAGGGGCAGCCCATCATCACCTATGGGAAAGAGGCCTCCACTTGACTCCCGGGGCTTGGGCACCATGAGGCAGGCTTGTCCTAAGTGGGGCTGTTCCCCACAGCTCTGGTCGAACCCCACAACACAGGCCCCTGCTGTGTTGCCCTGGTGTGCGGTGGCTGGGGGGGGGGTGGTGCCAGAATAGTCAGGGGTGCCCCAATAAACAGAGACTTCGGACTTGTTATTTCATGAGCCTGGACTCCAAACGGAGGGCGTGTTAATTCAGTAAAAGGATAGAGGTAGGTATTCTGGAGCGTCCACTTGAGGGTCCGGCAAAGTGGGAGGGAAAGAGCAGCGAGGGAACCTGGACCTTAGGGCTGGCTTTACTGCCGAGTACCGGTGTGACATTAGGACCACCTGCCGCTCCGGCCTCCTGTAAAGTGACACCAGGCAAGCCGACTTCTGAGGTCTCTTTCAATTCTAAGAACCCCGAGTCAAAACTGCAGCGGAAGTAAGGGATGAAGGAAATCGGAACCAGAATGTGTGGCTCTAGGGCCCTGACTCTGCTCTGCGGCTTCAGAAATCAAGACAGGTCATAAGGATGTATAATGAGTGAGAGATGACAGGTGTGCACCCGGGAGTGTGTGAACTGTCTAGTTCTGCCCAGTAGGAAAATTCCACCATCAGGCAAGGGCATAATTTGTAGAAGAGATTCACAATGGAGAACTTTTTCCAATAGGCTACTCGTTATGTGTGTGTACGTGCGTGCGTGCACACACTCTTTCTCTCAAGCTTTTATCAGTCAAACTTTATTTATTTCTTTGTTTGTTTATTTAATTTATTTTTTAAATTTACATCCAAGTTAGCATATAGCGCAACAATGATTTCAGGAGTAGATTCCTTAGTGCCCCTTACCCATTCAGCCCATCCCCCCCCCCACAACCCCTCCAGCAACCCTCTGTTTGTTCTCCATATTTAAGAGTCTCTTCTGTTTTGTCCCCCTCCCTGTTTTTACATTATTTTTGCTTCCCTTCCCTTATGTTCATCTGTTTTGTATCTTAAAATCCTCATATGAGTGAAGTCATATGATATTTGTCTTTCTCTGACTGACGAATTTTGCTTAGCATAAAATACCCTCCAGTTCCATCCACGTAGTTGCAAATGGCAAGATTTCATTCTTTTTGATTGCCGAGTAATATTCCATTGTGTATATATACCATATACCACATCTTCTTTATCCATTCATCCATCGATGGACATTTGGGCTCTTTCCATACTTTGGCTATTGTTGATAGTGCTGCTATAAACATGGGGGTGCATGTGTCCCTTCGAAACAGCACACCTGTATCCCGTGGATAAATACCTAGTAGTGCAATTGCTGGGTCGTAGGGAAGTTCTAGTTTTAGTTTTTTGAAGAGCCTCCATACTGTTTTCCAGAGTGGCTGCACCAGTTTGCATTCCCACCAACAATGCAAAAGAGATCCTCTTTCTCCGCATCCTCGCCAACATCTGTTGTTGCCTGAGTTGTTAATGTTAGCCATTCTAACAGGTGTGAAGTGGTATCTCAGTGTGGTTTTGATTTGTATTTCCCTGATGGTGCGTGATGTTGAGCATTTTTTCACGTGTCGGTTGGCCATCTGGATGTCTTCTTTGGAGAAGTGCCTATTCATGTCTTTTGCCCATTTCTTCACTGGATTATTTGCTTTTTGGGTGTTGAGTTTGATAAGTTCTTTATAGATTTTGGATACTAACCCTTTATCTGATATGTTATTTGCAAATATCTTCTCCCATTCCGTTGGTTGCCTTTTAGTTTTACTGATTGTTTCCTTCTCTGTGCAGAAGCTTTTTATTTTGATAAGGTCACAATAGTTCATTTTTGCTTTTGTTTCCCTAAACATTATTTAATAAATAATGTCAAACATTATTTGACAGTGTCAATATGGTGATGAATCTTTCATTAGTTTATCAAGTCAGGAAACAAAATGTGGAGAGTCACCACTCTGTTATTGACATTTGAGTTCTATGAAGTCACATCAGTGGGCTTGGAGGATTTGTGGCTGAGCCTTAGTCCTCAACAGAGTCTAAGAAATTAGCTATTTGAGAATACTATTTCCCAACCGCTCTGACTGCAGTGTTCTATTTAGTTAGCCCTTGTATTACTTTCTCCCGCTATTCCTGATCAGACTTCTGGTCCCTGAACTTGTCCAATGTTCTCTAATCTACAAAATGGTTTTGTCCATTCTCTTCCCCTGGCTGGAAAACGTGGCCCACCATGGAAACCCTCCCTTGTTCCTTTATTCTTCTCCAGATCTTTCCCAGCAAGTCCTAACCTTAGCACCTCTGGTGTTACCTTTGGAGGGCCGAGGCGTGGAGAACATCTTACAACGAAGCCCACTGGTATCCCACAGCCTCGGGAACCCCCCACAGCTGAGTCTTGGGACCTCCTGGAAATCTTCACATACATGCCTGAACAGCCTCCATTTCTTAGAGATGTGATCTCCAAAGTCTGTCACCCTGAAGTCCCCTACGTTCCCTTCTCCACCTTACAGCACATTGCCTTGTCTCCTATGCTATAAAGAAAATAGTCATCAGACAGGAAATGTCTCCCATTCCTTCACTCCCTACACTTTATCTGTGTTTGCACCTGTCTTTTTTTCCTTCTGATGCACCAAGGTGAAGTGCTCACCAGGTTTCTGGATTTGCAAGCCCCTCTGGCTGGGAAATTTTTACTCCACGGTTTCGCTCTCTGCTGCCTCTTCCTTCCGGCTCCTTTCTCTCTGCATTTAGACATGTTCAAACCTGTGTGTCATTTTGAAAAACCTATTGGTGTCCCTGTTTTGTTTTACCCCTCCCCTGGCCAGACTTCCTGGAAGAGTTGCTTACCTTGTTACTTGCTTGCCTCGCACTTAGTCTTAACCCACTTCAATCTGGCTTAATGCCCACCCCTTCCCCGAACACAGTGATCCCGTTCTAGTTGCCAAACATGGTGAACATTTTTCAGGCCCTATCTTGCTCGGCCCCTTACTGTTGACTTTGTTCTTGAAATTCTTCTTCCTTTATTCTCAAGACCTCTTGCTGCTTATTCTCCCATTTCGCCATCCTCCTCCAAGGCAATCCCTTCTCCAACAATACAGGAGCCATTGTAGTTCTTCCCTTGTGTTCCTCATACTAGATATCTGCCATTTTCTCTTTCTAGAACAACCTTCACACCCTTCTCTTTCCAGCTAACTCCTACTCATCTTTCAAGATACAACACCACTACACTATGCCTCCAGAAAGGGCCCCCAGCCTCCAATACTAGATGAAATTTCCCTTTTCTGTGTACCCATAGTATCCTGTGCAAACCTCTACCCAGCACTAGATTGCTGTGACTTTAATTTCCAGTTTATTTGTCTTGCTTTGTCTGTAAACCTCTTGACACGTACGCACAGTGTTCCACAAAATGGGTTGAATGGAGTTGAATCACAACACAAAGAATTTCTACACTGCTGAGGACCCTTCATCATGGGCTGCTAAACACGTTCTCCTTTATGTTTGGCATGGCAAATGATCTATCCGCTCTGTGACCACCTTTCCTCTTCCACCTGGACACTCTGGAAGATGCAGAATCTTGATAGTTTGCAGATGTTCAAGGTAGGTGCCCCGGGTCCCTTCTCCCATGATGAATGTAGTGGGATAGAAACACGGAGAGCAGTATTGTGGCCACTGGTGGCAAGAAGAAGATTGAGCCTGTATAGACACGATCATCATATCTAAGGTCAGACAAGACACATGGATTTTGAAAAGACTATTTCATGTGTATCATGTATTTTCAGTGAGATTGTACACTCCTGAAGATCAGGGGCCTCGTCCTATGTTTCTTGTGACTCCTAGACATCTGGAGAGTATTAGTTTTTCAAAGACAGTACCTTTAAAACAGGTCTCAGTCTTCAGACTAGAAGGCCTCTGCTCCATTGTACCCAGGGGCACACTACACTTCCCAATCATGGCACCCACACTTCCATTCAGTACTGACACCTGTCTTCCCCACCACTGTCAGCCATGGCTGTGTCTGTGCTGTTCATTGCTGTGCCTCAGCACGTAACAGAGTACCTGGAACACAGAGGTGCTAAATAAATGTTTATTAATGAACTAACTTTACATAGGATATACTTTATAATGTGTATGTGACATACAACATGTATGCGTGTGAATATTTGTGTCCAATGTCCGTATATGGTTGTTGGGTTTGTGGGTGGGAGGTATGAGGTCTTAGGGGACTGGGCTAGTTGGTGACTTAGTTTAGAAAAGCAGCTAGAAATCTCTTTGCCTTGAACTTGTTTTCTTGACCAGTTTATGGGTGTCTTAAACTACTCGAGAATACATAGAAACAGCCATTGTACAAAACTGGGTGGGGACATAGAGATTCATGGTGGACCTTGTGTTTAGATATACCAAATATTGCTTCCAGTCAGTTCCTGGCGAGGCTCAGTAGCCCCTCCAAGGGGACACTCGTCAAGGCACCATGAGCAATGGAACAGAGCCCCACCATTTCAGAAAACACTTATAGACTCTTCCCATTTCTACTTTACCTGGATCTTTCTAACTCTCCTGGATTTTGCTAAAAGTTCCTTTGTGTTCCCCACAAACACCAATTTCCCTAAACTTTAAGTATCTGTGAAGGTATATATCTTTGGTGTTCGACTTTCTGAGGGTAGTTCTGGTTCTGGGGAACTCACAGTGTGGAGTCTGAAGGAAAGCAAACACGCACCTTGTGAATCTAGTAGCAAAGGAGGTGTGAGTACCAGGGTGGAGAGAGCCATCCTTTGTGGACAAAGTGAGTGGGAAACCATCTGAAGCATGATTACAAGCGTTGAACTGCTTAATCTTCACCAACCCGGATGGCAGCCTTTTTACCCTATTTTATCGTCTCACCGCTGCACACAAAGCCCTATGGGATGGCCTGGTCCCGCCATCTTTTCCAAATTCATCCCCTGTCACCCTCCTTTCCCTTTCCCAGGCTCCAACCACAGGGTCCTCCTTGCCAGTCCTTGAGCCTTGCCAAGCATGCTCCCGCTTTAGGGGTCTTGGGGTTGGTTTCCCCAGTCGTTGATAAGGTTCACTCAGATGTCACCTCCTTAGCGAAGCCTTCCCTGGCCACCTGATCTAAAATAGCAGCCCCTTTACTCTCTAGTCCCTTATCCTATTTTATTTGTCTACATGCGCTTTATCATACCTGATATTAGATTATACATACACATACCTGTGTGTACATATATACGTGTACATATGTGTGTATGTGTATACGTGTGTATGTGTACACATATATACATATGTCCTGTATATACGAGGACAAGTCTATCTTGTCCGCTATTTTCTTGTTCACTTAGGTGGGCACTCACCACGCAGCAGGTGCTGGATAAATATTGAACGAATGCTTCCAGTTTAGAGGAGAACATTGAGCCACGAGCAGGTGCCATCACACCCAAGTTCATCTCCCCTGGAGCTCTTGGGTGGGCAGGGTTGTTCGAGTGTACTCCTGTGGTCACCCAGCACTGGGCCCACGTTGTCACTTCCCCGTGCCGGTGCCTGGAGCCTGCACCGGGGATGACCGCCTGTGCCGATCCCTTGTCACGCAGGTGGACTTGAGGCGCCAGCAGATCTCGCAGATTGTGGAGGAGGTACAGAGGGTCGTCCACCATCTGACCGCAGAGATCAGCCTCCAGGACCTCCGATTTCAGGCCGTCCCTTACTCTGACACATACAATGGGAACATTAAGGTAAGCAGGGCTCACTTGTACTGCAAGCGCCTCCCAGAGAGCCAGGGAACGTGGGTGGGCCCGTCTGGGCATTCGACGGACGTCACACTGCTGAGAATACCGATAAGCCTTCATGTACCACAGGTGCTCTTAGCATTTATCATTTACACGCTCGCTCCATTGGTGCTGTCTCATGTGAACCCCCGCGTTCCTCCTCTACGGATGATAAAAATGGAGCCTTCGAGAAGTCAAGTGACTTGATCATGTCCTATTAGGCACTAAAGTTGGAACTGAGCCCGGGGCTTTTGATTCCAAAGCACATTTTGCTATAACACCTGAAGTTTAGTTAAACTTCACATTCATTTATGAAGCACCTAGTTCATAGATTGAGGGCTGGGGCGAGGGAACTGAGGGCACTGGTGGGAAAACAGTTGAAAGTGAGGGTCTATGGGTTGCAGGTGGGGGAAGGAAGAAGAGGAAGAGGTGGCCCTTAGAAACGGCAGCAGCAGCCCCGCTGTGCCCACTGCGGACAGGGTTCTAAGTGGCCAGGGCCCTGGGTGACAGCCAGCCTTCCTGCGACACTGCTGTTTGGGCCAAGCCATTGTCACAGAAATAGCCTCACTCATGCCTCCTTGTGGAAAACACATGGCTCACTGCCTTTCAGTGATGAGAGAAGTGAGGCTCTGATTCTCATTCTCCTTTATCTCAATTTTTCTTATGGCACGTAAGAACCCCTTTCACTCGCATTAAAGATATACGTATTCATGCCCCGTCTCTCACACAAGACTACAAGCTCCTTGTTTGTAAAGTTCACGTTAATTGATCGCTTCATTCCTCGCACCAGCATAGTGTGTGGCCCATGGCGGACACCCAGCTTCAGTGAATAAATGGATAAGCAGAAGAAATAGCACCCGAACAGAAGACCATTACTGGTCCAGGACGTTTCAAGGTTGTTGGCCACAAGGACCACCCACCCACAAGATTCTGGAACCTGTGGATTTGGGGTCAGAGTGCCGAGCTTGGGAAATTCACCCTGGGATAAACATTGCAAAACTAGATTGGATCCTGACATGTCACAACATCGTTTGCCCATGTCTATCACTCTTCCAACCTGTATTAGACAAATACAGACCAGTGACGTGGAGTAGAAACACAATGCCTTTTTTCCTAGAATTCTATCTGAGGAAATTTCCTTCTGTGGTCTCACTTAGAATCCATAGCTTAAAATACATCTTGCATTTATGTACATGATGTCCTGCATATTAAATTTTGAAAATACAGTGGGGAATATAAAAACTGCTTTTATTTTATCTTGGACCACATTCAGCGAGTGTTAATTAAGCACCATTGATGTGACTAGTAACATGATAGTTGTACTCTTGAATTCACATGCAAGCGAACTCAAATAATGTATTGATTGTGAGTGCTATAGTTTAGATTTGTTCCCTTTTTTTTTTTTAAGTTCATTTATTTTTGAGAGAGAGAGAGAAACAGAGCGCAGATGGGGGAGAGGCAGAGAGAGAGGGAGACACAGAATCTGAAGCAGGCTCCAGGCTCTGAGCTGTCAGCACAGAGCCCGATGCGGGGCTCAAACTCACAAACCGTGAGATCATGACCCGAGCCAGAGTCCGGCGCTTAAATGACTAAGCCACCCAGGTGCCCTGCTTTGTTCCCTTTTTTAATCCTACTGCCTTTCTGTGGCCTTCAGAAGTCATGTGGATCCATCATCTAAAGGATCACACTGTTGATCTCTGAGAATGAGACGGAGTTTGCTGCTCACCCCCGAACTGCCCAGTGACAGGGCCCTGAGCAAAGGTTAACCAAATACCGCTGTCAGAACTTTCCATGAAAGGGAGGTGGCTCTTCCAGTGTGCAGCTGACTGGTGGGGGAAGGTACGGCACGGAGTAGACTGCCACGTGATGTGGCCCACAGTGTCAAGCTCCCTTTGGGCGTAGTGTGCTGCTGGCCAGTGTGTTCTCTCCTTTGGACTTCGCACCTGACCACTTTCACCCTGACCTCTGCCTAACCGGTACCTGTAGAAGTGGAGTAGGTAGATTCTGATTGTTTGTCTTATCCCATGAAGCTTAGAATCATCTCAGTGGCTCACGTGGTCTCAGCAACTGCCTTTTGTTTCATCTGTGATGTTGTAAGGACCGATCATTAAAACGGGCTGTGGGTCATCGGTACAGGCAAAAAGAAAGAGGGACATTTTTGCTGAATGCTTTCACCCCCTCCCGTGCCCTCCTCTGTCAGACCCTTCGCCCGTTCCAGGCCACTCCCCCCTGACTGAGAGCCAGCCCATCAGAGGGCTCAGGTTCACCTTCTGGCTCTACCACTGAATGGCTGTGTGTCCCTCGGGAGATCTCAGAGCCCCTCTGAGCCTTAGATTCCTCCTCTGGGAAGTGTTAACAAAGCCCGCCGCCTCATTGTGTAACTGGGAATATCACATAGTCTGATGCGTGAGAATTGCGGTGTTCAGTACGCGCAGAACACAGCGTGTACTATTTGTATTCCCTGCTTTCTCTTCTCCCCCGGACCTTAGGTGCCCTCTGGGGTTGCAAGTCAGGCTCACTCTTTTCCTTGAAGTTTCCTGACACCCAGGACTAGCAAGTCCACTTGCCCGCCCGAGGCATCGCGGTGGTTAGTGGCACAACAAGGACGGACGCCTCCTGGGATGAACAGGTGCAGCTCTCTGTCCATCTCGGCACGTTGCTGAGGGTCAAGTGGTTCACCGAGCTGCCCGGTTCAACAGGCCGGCTCCCTGAGGATTTCTGCGACCTTCTGAGTCTGTGAACTCACACTTCTCTCTCCCTTCTCGACCCCAGGTTTTGGCCCCCTGCCAGTTCCTCGTCACGGTCCCGGTAAAGGGCCTGGTGGGGTACAGGGAGGCCAGGGAGCAGCGCTGGCGATACTACACCCTGCGGGGCACCAGGCTCCCCTGTCCCTTGCAGGACCCAGAGGGCCTGCGGCAGTGGCTGGAGGCGGAGCAGTTCATGAAGAGCCAGTGGCAGTGGCATGAGGCAGACGTGAACATTGAGGGAGATATTGTGCCCGCCAAGGTGCTCCAGGTATTCCGGAAGCTGGTAGAAAACGCAATTGGAACCTGTCATCTCTCAGGTGAGCGGATCGAGAACAGTACAAGAGCAGTTTCTGGCATTTCCCATTTGCCTCTAGAAATCCTCTGCGTTGGTGGGTGTTAACCTGAAGCCCATGCCCCTAAAGTGAGACCATAATCGTGTGCTCCCAACATCTGTTCGATCCTCACAGTAGAAATTAGCTCTTTTTTCCGCTGTGACGCACCAAAGAATGGAATCCATACAGCATCTGCTTAGATTTAAGTGGTTTCCTGCCCTGGCATAGCTACGATGGGCTTTGAGTTATGCACCCTTTCCTGGATGTTAATTTAAAAATGTGGGTACTATCTTTATGTTTATTTTTGAGAGAGAGGAGAGTGACAGAGCGTGAGCAGGGGAGGGGCAGAGAGAGGGAGACACAGAATCCAAAGGAGGCTCCAGGCTCTAAGCTGTCAGCACAGAGCCCGACACGGGGCTCGAACTCACAGACCGTGAGATCGTGACCTGAGCTGAAGTCAGACGCTTAACTGACTGAGCCACCCAGATGCTCCATAAACGTGGATACACTTTTTAAAAACCAAATTCCTCACAAACCACAGATCTTTGTTATTAGCACATTTCTACAACACCCTCCGACTGACATGTTTTGTACCTCGGTGTTTTGAGATGCCACATTTGGAAACCACTGACTTGTGCCAAAACACAAAAGGACTGATTAAACACATAAAGGACTGATTAAATCTGACAATCCCCAAATCTTAAACTGTGTACCACCGTGTGGTATATGTGAACACACACACACACACACTGGGAAAAAATGGCTAACTCCCTTAATTATAAAAGAATATTTATAAACCAAGAAGAAAAAAATATGAGTAGACCAGTAGAAATAGTGACCAAAAAAAAAAAAAAATGACCCCGAGAAAAAGAATATAAACAAGTAGTAGTATAAAAGAGGGAAAACATGTTCCATCTAACATATATTTCGAGCAGTGTGCATTAAAACACCTCATAGGTTGACGGAGATGATAAAGTGTGATTGTGCTCAGTGTAGGGGTGAGTGTGGTGCAACCGGCCTTTGCACGCATTGCTCCTGGAAGTGTAAGTTGGTGCCTCCCTTTTAAAGCGCGATTATAGTCTGTTTTCATTTTTATAATGTGCTTAACTTGACAACCCAACAATTCCAGGTTCTAGAAATACATTCCTACACATAAAAGAGAAGGACGCCTGGGTGGTTCAGTCGGTTAAGCGCCCGACTTTGGCTCAGGTCATGATCTCACAGTCTGTGAGTTCGAGCCCCGTGTCAGGCTCTGTGCTGACAGCTCAGAGCCTGGAGCCTGCTTCAGATTCTGTGTACCCTCCCCCTCTGCCCCCTCCCCCGCTCACACTGTGTCTCTGTCTCTCTCTCAAAAATAAACATTAAAACAATTTTTTTTGAAAGAGAAATATGTACAAGGGTATTCACTGCCATGGGCTTTGTAATAGTAAGTAACTAGAAATAATGTCAATTACAAGGGAAAATTGACAAAATAAATTGTGCTACCTCTGCCTCTTGGGCCACTGCGCAGCCTTTAAAAGAGTGGGGTACATTCATGTGTGTGCGCACAGAGCTGTGAAAAATCCTTGTGCTGGATAATGAAGGGAGAAACCACAGTGCCGAACAATGTGCACTCCCACGTGTGGAGAAAGAGACGGATCTGAATGTGCGTTTGCTTGTCTACACAGAACCATTCTGGAAGGTTCCCTAATGGAATTGGCACACGTTTAATGGATTTTCACCACGTATAGGATGCTTTCATGGAAAATGCGATGCGCCTAGCAAACCTGTAGAGTAAGAGTGAATTTCCTACCTGTTTGACAGATGAGAACACTGAGGTTGAGAGAGATGGGGTCACACGGCAAGGAAGCAGAGCAGGCAGGAGTAGGGTGTGGGCGAGGCAGGCTGGCCCAGCATGCGCTAACTTCTTATTTACCTCTGCAACACTGGTAACAATGCAAGGGCAAGTGAGAGATTCAAACCGGGGCAGGCTGATGAGATGCTTTCAGTAAATGATGCCAAGGTGCCAGACGTCGCCATGTTCCTGTCTGGGCAGCTCTGATGATATGCAGACAATAAGCTCTTTATCACACCCCAGCCAAGGAGAGGGACGTGATCCTTTTGAACAGCCCGACACAATTAGTGAGGGAGTTCCATTTTCCTCTCTGAGCGAGGAAGAGAACAATAATAGATCCCAATTCAAGACCGCTCATCCTTATCTGTAATGAGGACAGACAAACAAAACCACTGCGTATCTTTTGAAAGAAGGGAGAACGGATTAGCAGTGAGTCCTCCTATAGGAGCTGGAAGAGGCTACCAGATGCCTTTTTTTTTCTCTCCCTCTCTCTGCCTGGTTGGAAGAGGCAGTGGGGGCCTGTTGCCACTCCTTCGACCATTTAAGCCAATGGCTATGAACACTTTGAAGTATTTTATAATTACAAGGGCTCAGGATGACAAATGCATCTGAGGCTAGACTGGCTTAATGATGGGGGTACAAAGCCATGCCATCTGAGAGACTGGGAGTCAAGTGAGAGGTGGGTTCAGCCGAACCCCACCAGAGGCAGGTCAAGGAGTAAGGGGACTGGAGGCTGTCCCCGCAAGGTCAGGACATCTGGATGAAACATAGGGGGCACGGAAGAATGGTTGGATTTCATTTTTACCAGCAAATACTACGTCTTTTCTTTGTCTTCTGTGTCTCTTTTCTTCAGTTGAGCCTTCTGAAAAGAATTTATTAATTTTTTATTTTATTGTTGAGAGAGAGAGAGAGAGAGAGACAGAGTGCAAGCAGGGGAGAGGCAGAGAGAGAGAGGGAGACACAGAATCCTAAGCAGGTTCCAGGCTCTGATCTGTCACCACAGAGCCTGATGCAGGGCTCGAACTCACAGACTGTGACATCATGACCTGAGCTGAAGTCGGACGTTTAACCGACTGCGCCACCCAGGCGCCTCAAGAATCAATTTAATTAAAAGAAAATGGGGCGCCTGGGTGGCACAGTCAGTTAAGCGTCCGACTTCAGCCAGGTCACGATCTCGCGGTCCGTGAGTTCGAGCCCCGCGTCAGGCTCTGGGCTGATGGCTCAGAGCCTGGAGCTGTTTCCGATTCTGTGTCTCCCTCTCTCTCTGCCCCTCCCCCGTTCATGCTCTGTCTCTCTCTATCCCAGAAATAAGTAAACGTTGAAAAAAAAGAAAATTAAAAAAAAAAAAAGAAAAGAAAATGTACCACAAAAACCTTGGGGGTGGGGGAGGAAGGACAAAGAAACACTCACTAACAATGAGATTTTCTAGCAACGTTTCTATCGATATTTACTCAGCTAATTGTCTAGTGTTGACATAAACACCCCACCCTTGGAAGGCTCCTGACGCTTGAAAGTTGCCCCACCAGTTGCGATCAGGTGGTCAGAGCCGCTGCCCCCAAATTCCTTCTTGGAATGAGCTAGGCTTTCTCTTCTCATCGCCTCGTTGTGATTTCCCACCAGGTAAGGTCAGCATGCTGACGCAGCTCTCCGCAGTTTGGGTTGCTGTGGAAACCTCCACATGTCAGGTGGAGCTAGAGCTTGTCCCCACGGTGGAGATCCCTACCGTCTGGCCCGAGAAAGCTCGCTGGCCTCCCTGTCTGAAGCGCTGGCCTTCCCGACAACGAGTGGAATGTATCAAGGTATCGGGGAGCCGGGGGCTCACAGCTTAGCCGCCCACAGCATCACTGACTGTGAACCAGCTCTGGAAGGAAACATGAGGTGTCATGAGATCAGCGGTGCTCCAGGTGTGGGTCGCAGAATCTGAGAGCCTACTAGGAATGCAGGTTCCCGGGCCCGCCCCGGACCTACCGACTGAGGCCTGCTGGGCGGGGCCCTGCAACCTGTGGTGTAAGAAGCTCCGCAGGTGATTCTGGTTCGGGCTTAACGTGGAGAACCAGTTGAAAGTGGGCACAGCCTCTGCCATTCACTGCGCTCCGGGAAGGGGGCTTGTCCCGAGGCTCCTTCCGCGTCCCCAACGTAGGAGGTAGAGCCTGCCTGCTGGCAGCCCCCCCCCCCCCCCAGAGTAGCGGATGGCTTCAGAGAGGGCTTTCTGCTGCGGCGAGCCCCGTCCGTCTCATTTTCCTGATGGTTTTCTCTCTCCCCAGTCGTTTGGGTTTGCCTTGTTGGCCTGTTCAAATTATCACTGGCAGCAGAGTTTCCTGCAGGCTGAGCAGGTACTGCTAGACCAGCTGGATGAGGACGGGGGCTGCCGCAGGAAGTGCTTCCAGGCCCTGAGGCAGATGAAGGAGGACGTCTGGTGTCCGGGAAAGAGGCCTGTCATCACGTCCCACCATCTGCAGGTGAGTGGGCACGCACGAGTTTGGGCGGGTCCTCTCTGTATGCCCTGCAGGGCCCTGCCGGAGCCACTCACGACAGGTGTGGGTGTGTGTGTGTGTGTGCACGCGACGAATTCAGGAGAAGACCCTAGTGTCCATGGTTGCCATCCCAAAGTTACTGCTCACTACCGAGATGTGTAAACCCGGGCTGTATGTGTGCCCTGCCCAGGCTGAATGGCCTCCGCCTCCTCCCTGCCCTCCCCTTCTTGCCCTCTTTCCTTTTCTTGCTTTTTGCCCTTTCCAGATTTTCTTCTCTCTCCATCTCTCCCCTCAACTTATTTCACGCAACAAACCAGCGCGATGCGCCAGAAACTTGGCTGGGGTTCAGCATTGATTTACTCAAAGCCTCCGCCTTTAAGAAACCCACGGTCTGATGAAGTCTTGCAAATTGCTTGAACCTCAGATGGATTCGAGGTTTCCCTGGTGTGAGGACTCCCTCAGTCCCCACAGGTGCGGCCACCGGTGCTCCGATGCCCGCCGCGCAGAGGAGGATCCGGGAAATGGTTGAGGTTGCCACGTGAGCATTGCCACAGACCCGAACTGCCAGGTTCCAAATCAGCCGGCAGGGGTTTCCCTAAACCCTACGGCACCTGCCTCCCCTCGCCCCCAAACCCAACATTCATGAATGCCCTTCGTCGCTCACCCAGCAAATGTTTATTGAGGTTACTATGGGCCACACCTGCCCCAGCACCTGCTGTGTGCTCCACAAGCACAAGATGAGCAAACACAGAAGTGGTTCCTGCTCCCATGGAGCTTATGGTTTAGCAGGGCAGACAGACATTTGTCAGATGGTCCTCCAGGTGCATGTGGCCAGGTCAGATGGTCCTCCAGGTGCATGTGGAGCACCAGAGAGGACGGGAGCATCATTCCGTGAGGGCTCAGAGCAGCAGAGCCTGACCTGGGCTGCGAGATCGGGGCTGGTGGAGGGGGGGGTCCCCCTGGGGAGGTGACTTTCACACTCTCAGCTCCTCTTTTGCAAATTTCCAACCATACACCGTGAACTGGACGTTCATGGAACAGGCTGTGTGGCACACTGAGGTTGGGAGAAGGCAGACTTAGAGACAGCACAGCCCGAGCCTAGCTAGAGTCTGTCCGGGAGCTTTGTCCGTTCTCCCTGCCCTTCGACAAGGTGAGCACAGGTCCTGTGTGTGTGTCTTCCTTGCACGCTCCTGCTGTGCCCCTTGGCATTCAGTGGACCTCCATCTTCTGCCCCTGTGTTGGGGTCAGAGCTTCTGACCCCAGCTCCAATGTAAGCTATTTAAGGGCAACTACTAACGAGCCCTTAGGATCTCTCCCAATGTGGTGTACCTAGTAGTTGCTCAGTAAATACTTGTTGGGCGAATGAATGAATGCCTTCACATTCTACTGAGCTTCCCCCCCCCACCCCCGCCACGAAATCAGTAGTCTTTGCTTTGCTTTCGTATCTTCCCTAATAACCTGTCCCTCTTGACCTGCCCAAGCATCTGTTAATATCTCATTTGCACATAGCTGTGCCTTTCTCTGGAATCTCAACATTCTCAACACCGAGCACATTCCCCTAAAAACACTCACCTGTTCTCCTGGATTGAGGACATGTGCTTCCTGAAGGTAGTCTAGTTCATTCTGCTGGTTTAGCTTCTTTCCTCCTGGCCTTTCTACAGGCCACACTAGCAAGAGCCAGAGCTGAGCCGCAAACTCCATTCTATCTCCTATTGAAGCTCCTAATCTTAACCACTGACTTCATTGCCTCACAATTAAGATGGATGGAAACACATTAAGTGACATGAATAATTTAGATGAGATTGAATAGGGCCACCACAGGCCTCCCGGCCCTTGACTGCGGTCAAAACTGCATTACATGCGAAGATTTACTTTTATTCCAGTGGCTTCTCAGTCACTAGAGGATTTTAGGGCAACTCCTTAAAGGTGCTCTGTTTCAGTTCTCCCGAGCTCACCTCCAAGGCACAGGATTGTGCCCTCTCAAGAACGGGCATTGTAAAGGGGGGTTATTTGTTGAGAAGGGCAGGAAGGGCAAAAACAGTCCTAACTGCCTGTTCTTCTAGTCTCCCACTGTGGCCCAAGGGCAGGATGCCCTCACATTTAGACACTGGGATGGGCGTGGCTGGTGACCGTGTGCTGTTAGACACCATCCAGATGATGGCTTGAGTGGGCGGGATCGTTGCCAAGCCTTCAGCCTGGGGAAAACAGAAGAGACTGGTTGCAAAACAGCATCAGGAAGCTCGTGCCACTTATTGTCACCCCACCTTCAGCCTAACACTGTCTGATGAGTTTCTCACCTCCCCAAAGCGGCTCTTTCCCGAGCAACTCCAGGTGAACAAGAGCTTATCCTTCTTTGGCTTATTTGCTCCTAAAACCCACTCAAAGGCACAGGGGCTTGATTATAAGAGGCTTAACTGTTTTGGTTTGTTTAGGGAGATAAATGCTTAACTATAAGAGGCATGAAAACTCTTTTTTGTATCTAGGTTATCTTTTTTTTTAATGTTTCTTTATTTTTGAGAGAGAGACAGAGTTGCAAGCTGGGAGGGGCAGAGAGAGAGCGAGAGGAGACACAGAATCCGAAGCAGGCTCCAGGCTCTGAGCTGTCAGCACAGAGCCCGATGTGGGGCTCAAACTCATGAACTGCGAGACGATGCCCTGAGCCAAAGTCGGATGCTTAATCGACTGAGCCGCCCAGGTGCCCCAAACTATTCTGTATCTAGGTTATCTTGACTAGCATGATATCCTCTCCGACTCGTTTACTTAGCACGATGTGCTCTAAATCAAAACATACTCAGTGTCTTGCCGTGAACCCAAAACTGCTCTTTTCTTTCTTAGCCAAGGCTGTATTTTAAAAATGCTCAACATCTAAATCATAACATTGCTTATTTCACTTAGTCAATAAGCGTTTATTGACTGCCTCCCATGGGCCAGCTCCTCTGCTGGGTGCTAGTGATGTAACAGCAATTAAAATAGGTACCGCTCTCTTCTTTGATGGAGTTTACAATCTAGCAGGGAATCACATTAATGAATACAGAGACGGCTACTCCTGTGATCACTAGTGCTTATGGGAAGTGCGGGACGAAGAGTGTTTAATGGTATCGCAGGGAAATTTGATCTGACAGGTGAGTTTCCCAGACATACTGGGGAAGGAAGTGTGCTCCACACAGAAGTCAGATATGAAAGAAGTCACCCTGTGGTGGAAGAGGGGGGCCAGTGGGGCTGGAAGGAGAGAACAAGGGAGGACGAGGGTAAGGTGAGGCTGGAAAGGAAGGTAGGGAGCAAACCTCGCAAACCAAACCATGTTAAGGATTGTGGTTTTTCATTGACCGATGGTGGGAAGTCTTTAAAGTGTTTCTTTTTTGTTGCTTATTTATTGCGAGGGGGAGAGAGAGAGAGTGCATGTGCATGCAAGCAGGGGAGAGGCAGAGAGAATCCCAAGCAGGCCTCACACTGTCCATGCAGAGCCTGATGTGGGGCTCGAACTCCTGAACCATGAGGTCATGACCTGAGCCTGAATCGAGAGTTACACACTTAACCAACTGAGCCACCCAGGCGGCCCTAGAGTATTTCAGACACGAAGAAACAGAGATTTATACTCAAAAAGATCACGTTGGCCACAGCGTGGTGGTGACAGACTGGGGACAAGAATGGGGCAAAGGCCCAGGTGAGACGGGAGAGGAAAAAACAGTGGAGATGAACATACGCGGCAGATGAGAGAAACGCTTTGGAGGCACCGGCAGAACTTGATGAGGGTGGTGAGGGAGGGGTGACTCCCGGGTTGAGTCTTGCCTGACTGGCTGGATAAGGAAGTCTGGAAACCCACCAGGTTTGTGGGGACAAGGGTCGTGAGTCCGGCTGGGACATGTTGGTGGCGATAACTCTCAGATTCCCAAGAGATACCAGGAGAGGAGGTCAGAGAAGTCTGGTCTGGGAAGAGAAATTGTGAGTGACCTCTATTTGTTCGGTGGGGATTCTAGCTGCTGAGGAAGGAAGGAAAAGAGACCAAGAGAAAAAGAGGGCATGGAACGGAGCCTCCAAAACTCCATCACTGGGAAGTAGAGAAAGCAGATAGCGTGCCAAGGGGTAGCTGTGGTGGTGCCTGGAGAAACCCAGAGAGCCCAGAAGCTTGGCAACCCAGTGAGAGAGAACCCCATTGAGAAGCCCCAGTGAGAGAACCTCATTCTGCTGGGCAAGGCCTGTTGGACTTGGACTTAGCAACATGGAGACCACGGGCCCTGAGGACCGATGGCGGAAAAATCCATATTGCAGTGGATCGAGATGGCCGTCAGCGGAGAGGAAATGACGACAGATAATTGAGAGGATTCTTTTTTTTTTTTTATTTTTTTTTTCAACGTTTTTATTTATTTATTTTTGGGACAGAGAGAGACAGAGCATGAATGGGGGAGGGGCAGAGAGAGAGGGAGACACAGAATCCGAAACAGGCTCCAGGCTCTGAGCCATCGGCCCAGAGCCCGACGCGGGGCTCGAACTCACGGACCGCGAGATCGTGACCTGGCTGAAGTCGGCCGCTTAACCGACTGCGCCACCCAGGCGCCCCGAGAGGATTCTTTTGAGAAGCCTTCACTTGCCAAGATGTGAGGGGTTAGGAGGCAGACGTGGCCCTGGGGCAAGGAGTGGGGGAGGAGAGTTTAGAATAATTTCAAGAGCCAGCAGAGGAAGGGCAAGGGCAGGAAAGAGGGAAGTCAGTCGCAGACAGCTCCCAGAAGGAGAGATCCCAAGCCCTGTTTGGGGGTTCTCCTGGCCAGGGGGGCTGGTCAAAGCAGAGAGCGAGAGAGGAAGATGCGCATGTAGGCGGACTGTTTTGCTGCCGTGAGGGTTTCCATCTTCCTTGAAAAGTAGTAGACAAAGGCATCCGCCAGGAGTGGGGAAATTGCAGATCTAAGGAGAGTGGTGGTAACTGGGGATACCAGTGGCGAGAGAAACCATGATCAAAGAGGCGCAGGAGACCTGCAGGGCGAGGCCGAGAACCCACCCGAGGGTGGGGATCGTGAAATCATGGCGGAACCAACTTGTCCTGGGTGACTGACTCCCTTCTCCCTCCTTCCACGGCCGCGTGAGCCCGGTACCATTTCTGAAGACTTTCTCCTCCATTGCCCGGAACGATGTCTGACACCACCTCTTCCTTCCGTAGACGGTGCTCTTTTGGACTTGTGAGAAATACCCCCACCCGAAGGAGTGGCAGGTGTTCAGCAAAGCGTTCCTGCGCCTGGTGAGGAAGCTGCACAAGTGTGTGAGCCAGCACTTTCTGAAGCACTATTTCGTGCGCAAGAGCAACCTGCTCCAGCATGCCAGCTCGGGCGAACTGGACACCGTGGCCCAGAAGCTGGCTCTCTTCCTGAAGAACCCCCAGATCGGCCTGCCCTGACGCTGCCCCTGCCTGGGAGGCTCTTGGACGCTTTATCCTGGCTCGACCTCGTTCCCTGGAGGATCCTGCTCAGGAGAGAAGCAACGTGTGGCACAGGAGATGACATTGACCCACTAGCACTTAAGGGGGGAACACTGTACCCCAAGATGTCCAATCTCAGCTTCCCTAGAGCCAAGCAAGCATTTCAGCCCTCACGATCTACCTCTCTCGGGGACAAGCTGTCATCAGGCTTCCCCAAGCCATCGATTCCAAGCTGATGACAGCACTGGATGTGTTCTCCTCGCTCAGGCTCTGAGTGTCTGCCGGGGAGGATGGAGACAAGAACCCCTGGGGGGCCAGGCATCGGCCTGCGGCCCAGGACTGGTGCTCCAGCCCACTGACGGTGGGCTCATTACCTTTCCACTCGCAAATGCAGCTGTGAATGTACCTTTCTGAGCCTGCGGGACTATGCTGGTGCCCTTACTAGAGGAGGGCACTGGGTCAACACAAAGTGTTAGTCATTGGTTGGTAGCCGGCGTTTGCCTGCTGGATCGGCACCAACACCGCTGACGGGGTGATTGTGTCTGATCGGTGGGCACGCCTGCCCTGGCCTTCCTGCCCTCAGTTCTCCTGAACCGTACTTTGGGTCGTGTGGTTCTAGCTGCTTCCCTGGTGTTCTCTAAGAGGGGAGAGGGTGATTTTGATGGCCAGTGCCGGCCAGAGGTAAAAGTTCAGCCCTGCTTGCCAGTCTGCTCCGGCCATTCCCCTTTTCTTGTGCCCGATGTTTTATATTCTTGGAATGGGCCCAGGATGATGACCTCCAAGAAATGGCTTGGTGTCACCCACCTCTCAATACCTGCCTTTGCTCACCTCATTCGCTCACTCATTCATGGGTAGATACATGCTCATTAGGCACTGGGAGTAGAGCGAGGAGCCAAATGGACAAAGGATGTACCCGTTGGGGGACGGCACCTAATGTCAAAGACAGGAAGTGCACAACAGATAAATAAACACGATTATTACAAATGGTAGCAAGTGCCCTGAAGGAAACAAACAGAATATTGAAATAGAGCCACAGAGAGCTCCTCGAAGGATGAAAATGCAAACAGCTGAAGGGGAAGGGAAGCGGGGGGCAGGGGCAGGCTAGGAGGGGCTGGAATGGGTCAGATCACTGAACCTTGTAAAGCTGGCAAGGAATCTGTATTTTATTCTAAAATCAAAGGCATGACAGTTGGCCTTTCCCAGAGCAGTAGGGTATGGTGATATGATTTGCATTTTGTTTGTTTATTTATTTAAGACTTGGATTTTAAATGACCAGTCCAGTGACTGTATAAAGGGGGCATAGGGTCCCACACAAGAGTTGAGGCATTGAAGGCCAGTAAGCCCACCCATTCTGAATTTCACTGAGATCCACAGGGCCACACATCCCATGTGGCACAAAGAATGCTTGGGGAGGTCAATGCTTTCTTCTGGTACTTATTTATGCTTTTCAACTCAAGGGAATCCTTTATTACTCAGAACATTTCCCCCACTGAAATTTCTAAAAGCATGAACAACTGGGTTTTTTTTTAAAAAAAAAGTCACATTGGAAAGTGAAATATTTTTACAAAAATACTCTAACCAAATGGTGGGTTCCCTGGGCTATCACATAGGAAATCATGATTTTAAACTGTTGGGGGAAAAAAAAAATCCTTTCAAAGATATGATGAGTTGATAATTTTTGAAAATGTGAAATAATGAGCAAGCCAATGTTTTGTTAAGTCATCAGAACTTGCATTCAAAGACCCATACTCTTGGGCCTTGGGACACATCATTTCTGAGAAGGTGGCAGATAATAACTTTTTTTTTAATGATGAAAACAAGTGAAGCAAGTTTTAAGCGAGCTGTATAATGCCAAGAAGTGGAAGTTGGCTGGACCACTGATTGGAAATGTGCACGTGGAGAGGAGTGGGACTGACATACTCCACAGTCTGATCCAGTAGGCTCTTCCCACCTCCCCGTATCTGTCTGTGGTCTTCGTAGGAAGCAGGGCGATCTGCGGACTCCCGACTGTTCCTCTGCTGGGCAGCAGAGGACAGTAGAGGACCGCATTTGGGAAGAGCCTCTTTCCCGCACATACCCCTCAGAGCCCAGTAGGTGGCACCCTCCTCAGCCCGGGACTTAAATCTGGCTTCTGGGAGAAGGGTGGCCAGCCATCACAGTCGTTCTGCTTAAGGCTCAGGCTTTCAAAGGGAGCCTGGGAGAGAGTCGTCCCTCCTTTCTGTTTGTAGGCACAGAGCGCCTAGCTCTGAGAAGTCTGCTATTACTGATATTCTGATATGCTGATATATACATACTGATAAGTCTGATATTATTCTGGTCAAGTTTTGTTTGTTTGTTTGTTTGTTTGTTTGTTTTTTATTCTCCAAAAGATTTTTCCTTTCATGTCCACTCTGGCCACAGGACTGTTTTATACTGCAGTGGTTGGTATTCAGCCATTTAAGTGACCTGCTTGCCCTTGCATCTCGCTGGCACACAACTGCCCTTAATAAGTTGTTCACCCCTCTCTGTATCTCCATTTTTTATGGGCGTGGTTATGGGCTGGATTGTGTCCCCCCCCACACGCATAAAATTCACGTACGGAAGCTCTCACCCCCAGTGCCTCAGAATGTGTCTGTATTTGGAGGTGGGGCCTTTAAAGAGGTGGTCAAGGGGCGCCTGGGTGGCTCAGTTGGTTGAACGTCCGATTTCGGCTCGGGTCACCATCTCACGGTTCACAAGTTCTACCCCCGCATCAGGCTTGGTGCTGACAGTGTGAAGACTGTTGTCTCTCTCTCTCTCCGCCCCTCCCCTGCTCACACTCTGTCTCTGTCTCTCTCTCTCTCAAAAATAAATAAACATTAAAATTTTTAAAAGAGGTGACCAAGTTAAAATGAGGCCATTTGGGTGGGCCCTGGGCCATTAGGACTGATGTTCCTGTAAGAAGAGGAAGAGGCACTTGGGCAGGGGCACAAGGGAGGAAAGGCCACCCGCAAGCCAAGGAGCGGAGCCTCTGGAGAAGACAATGTCGCCAGCACCTTGATCTTGGGTTTCCATTCTCCAGAACCGTGAGAAAATCATTTCCTGTTGTTTCAGCTATGCAGCCTGTGGCATTTTGGTACGGCCACCCTGGGAAGGTAGTACAAGCACGACGACAGAGTATGTGCCTCACTGCCTTGATGAGGGGAATAAACAGAATAAAGGACGTCAAAAGCTCGTTTAGTAATCTGGTGCGCCGTAGCTGTCGAATAAGCGCTTGGAGTCTTGGACAGCTACTCCCCAGGGCCGTGCCTCCACCGCCGCCTTTCTTGATAGCTCCCCCCCGCCCCATGGAGACATCCTTCATCAAGAAATGACAAACCATCATGGGGACAACGTGCGTGGCATCCCACCACGAGTTCCATAAACCCATCTTTTCCTTCGTCCCTCTTGCTGAGCGGAGGAAGTGTCTGAGGATTTCTCCACGTGCGGTGGAGCGATGCCAACCTGCCTTCTTGAGGACAGCTTTCCATTTATTGTGCATAGCGTGCTCTTCCTCTTACACCTGTCATTCCCCCTCTTAGCCTCTCTTCACTGCCCAGCTTCCTCTTCACACCTTCCTTCCTTCCTCCCTCCCTCCCTTCCTTCTTTCCTCCCTTCCTCCCTCCCTTCCTTCCTTCCTTCCTTTCTTTCTTTCTTTCTTTCTTTCTTCGAAAGATATCACACAGGTGGGAGTTGACAGTATCTAAAGAATGATAATAAAACAGATGCCAATACACTACCTAGGTGAAGAATAGCACTTGGCCGGTACTTTAGAATCCTAGGTGCCCGTTCTGTTCCCTAGCCCCCTCTCTCCCTGATTTTATGTGAGCCATTCAGCTGCTTTTCTTTACAGTTTGACTCCCTGTCATATTTCATTGAACCTAAGCCCCTAACAGTTGTGAGGTGAATCATGATTTCACGTCCCAGAAAGAAAAGGTGCTTTCATAATTGCAAATAATTGCAAATCACCACTGACTATCAGATGCGTCCTCATTTCTTTAAAAAAAAAAAAAAGTTTATTTTGAGAGGGAGAAAGAGAGAGAATCCCAAGCAGGCTCTGTGCTGTCAGCACAGAGCCAGATGCGGGGCTCAGACCCAGGAACCACGAGATCATGACCTGAGCCGAAATTAAGAGTCGACACTTGACAGACTGAGCTCCCCAGGGGCCCCGTGCATCCCCATTGTTTTAGAGAGATTAAAATGTGAAAAAGTTGATTTTAGAGCCCACAAAATACGACTTGCGTGCACCTGGATGTCTTTCAGTTCTGCCTGTTTTCGAGTCTTATGTCAATGGAATAATCCCATGCAAAGTCTTCTGGGATTGGCTTTTGTCCACAGCGTGCTTCTGAGGCTCTTCCATGTGGGCGTGGGTGGCAGAGGTGTGTTCCTTCCCACTGTCGTGGAATACTCCACGGCGAACCCCTGCCACTGTACGTATCTACGTTACTGTAGCTGCGCATCGGGTTGTTTCTAGCTTTAGTGATTGGAACTGCTTTTATACACATTCTTGTATGTGTCTTCTAATGCACTCAGGCCTTTTTAAAAAATTTTTTATTTTTATTTTTGAGAGAGAGAGACAGAACATGAGCAGGGGAGGGGCAGAGAGAGAGGGAGACACAGAATCCGAAGCAGGCTCCGGGTTCTGAGCTGTCAGCACAGAGCACGACGCAGGGCTCGAACTCACCAACCGTGAGATCGTGACCTGAGCTGAAGTCGGACGCTTCACCGACCGAGTCACCCAGGCGTCCCTGAATGCACTCAGGTCTCTTAAGGGTATATACATAAGAGTGAATTCTCAGGTTCAAAGAATACACACACACACACACACACACACACACACACGTTTAAATTTGTGAGGTAATGTCAACATATTTTCTGAAGTGATAGCACCAATCTAAATTCTCCATGTTCATGTCGGTGAACTTTCAGTGACTTTCTCCATTAGAATGGAACGCATTTTGTGTCTTGTGTAAGAAATCCTTCCTGTTTTTTAACGTCATGGAGATATGCTCCTATGATGTCCTCTACAATTTTACCGCTGTGCCTTTTTTCACCAGAGTTAGAAAACACTCTCTCTCTTTTTCCAGTCAATTCTCATGAAACTGGGATGATCTCTTTGCTTGGAACTTTAGTAAAACTCACCTAAAAAGCTGACTGGGCCTTGTGTTTTCTTTGTCAGAAGATTTGAAGCTATTAATTTTTCTTTTAGGGGTAAATGACATTCAGATTTTCTACTTCTTCCTGAGCTTCCTGTTAATTTACATTTTACTAAGAATTCTCCCATTTCATCTAAGTGTTCAGATTTACTGGCAAAATAATTGTTCATAATACTTAATTATCTATTTAAACTCTGATATATTTGTATTCTTTCTTGATGAGACTTATCGAGTAATTGTGTGTTTTGTTCATCTTTGTATGTTTTTCATTAATTTCTGCTCATAGCTTTCTTTCCCTCTACTTCCTCCAGGCTTACTCCAATGTTATTATTTTTTTTAACTTCTTAAATGCTTAGCTCAGAACTCCTCAGCGTGTCTTCTTTTCTAAGCATACAAATTTCCTTTTAATACCCTTTCAGCAGAATTCCACAGGTGTTAATAAATTGCATTTTCATCTTTTTTTAGTTCTGTTTATTTTCTGATTGCTACTGGGATTTTCTCGCTGACCCATGAGGTACTTAGATGTTTTAAAAAGTATTATTTGCAAACATATTGGGTTTCCTAGTTATGTTTTCATTACTGATTTATAAATAGATTGCACCAGAGTCCAAGAGAGGGGTCTGAAGGCCTCCCTCCGTGGATACTCATGGAGGCCAGCTTTTTTGCTCTGAGCGTCTCC